CTCCAAGCACTTCCCTTGAGATTCACCTCATACAATTGGCCATCGAGTTCCACATAGTGTTAGCATCACCTTCTAAGTCCCAAGTACCTTCCTTATCCATTCGATTCTTAAATATCTCTGGTTTATCCCCTTTTAGGTCCCACCATCTCGTCCTACGACGCTCACCATCCTTCTTAGCTTGGTATTGCCCTCTAAAATATAAATCTAGTGCCAAAATCCTATGTTGAGAGACCAGACTCTCTCCAGGAATCACCTTACAATCATTACATTTTAGGCGGTCCACTTTTCTCACTAAGAAGTAATCTATTTGACTCTTAACTAATCCACTCTTAAAGGTTATCAAATGCTCCTCCCTCTTCTTATACATAGTATTGGCCACCACCAGGTCAGAAGCCAACGCAAAATCTAAGATACTCTCTCCAGCCTCGTCCCCTAACACTTCCATCTACCGTTACAGCATCGCATCTCTTCACTACTGCCTTCACACAAAAATACCTTTCTAATATTACAAAAAAGGATAAAAATGTTTAGCCATATCCTAATGTCCTTGGATTTGGGAATTAAGATATATCCTATAATTAGATGCATATCAACACCCAACACACATCCAATTCCATTGAGTATAGATGCTCTTGAGCATCTTAAAAGCCCTCCTCAAGCTGAATTTACGAAACTGCTTTTGTTACAGAAAGACACTAGGTAGGCTGCTTTAATCAATGTGTCAATTAGAATGCTATCTTCTTGAATTTTATCTCAATATTAAATTACAATAGCATGTCATGCTCTTAGGCGTCAGTCAAGGATTTCTTCATAAATATGTTCAACTAATTTTTTTTTGTGAAAAAGCATAAAATGAAAGCACAAAATTCCCCTTATACCAAAAAAGTATATAGTACCTTTTTATGGAATAAGTATGTCAAAGATAACAAACCTTGTATGTGTCCAAGGGCATTGCTGACACCTGGTCAAACCATATGACTCTTTTTTTGCTTGTTGTCAATTGTAGTCTTGAGTTATGATTGATATCATTTGCTATCAGAAGAACCTTAGCCCTTGTCCCATTTTTGGCAACACAAAAACAAGATTAATGAAAGAAAACCTATGAAGATATAATGTTTGAGGGACAATAGGGCAATGAACATATGAGATACAATTTACAAAGACCAATATGAATAGGATAGTGTTTTGGCCTTGCATAGGTCAATTCTCTTATCAAACGTGCTTTTGAAAGTAACTCTAAAACTTGTGCATTTTCTAATGGTTGGCAAGAAAAATAGGTTAAACTAATCACATTCTAGGTTCTAATTTGAGAAATCCATATAAAATTTGTAAGCTCTAAAAGCTCGCCCCATCAGAATGGCTTATGGGGTAAGTAGTAAACACATGCTCATTTCAATTTCACATATCACATGAATCCATAGAGTGCATTTATTCAAAAATTATTTATTTATTTATTCAAAAGGCAAAGTCTATGCTATCTGAACATTTCAAATTACTAGTTTATATGGAAAGTCCTTCAATTTACAGAAATGGTGCAACTCAGAAACGGTGGTTGGATTCCGGTGGTGAGACAGTGGAGAGGCGGTGGCGCTCAGAGTAAGGAAGGAAATAATGGTTTCTTCACTGTATTTGTAGATAACATCCCTTCAGTAATGGATGCTAAAGCTCTGTACAAACTTTTTCCCAAGTTCGAGATCATAAAGGATGCTTTCATCCCATTCAAAAGAAGGAAAGTGACAAACTCAAGGTTTGGGTTTGTGCATTATGACTGTCGTATATTAGCATCTGTTGCCATCTAAAAAGCGAATGGCCTTTTGGTGGATGATATGATGCTTGTGGTTAAAATGACTGCCTACGATAGGAATAACAGATCTGAACAGAGCAAGAGAAAGTCTTAGGATACCAAAAGGAGCTTCGATACAACTAGTATCAGGGGCAATGTTGCATATGTGGGCCACAGATCTTTTGCTGAAGTACTAAAAGGAGATACCTCTGTTCTGGATGGGAACTCAAGTATAACTATAAAAGTTAATGAAGAAGGCAATGGTTGGCTCTATGATAGTGCAATAGTTAGATTTAACACAGAGTATACCACACACAGCATTTTGAAAGCTCTGAAAGAGAAAGGGTTGGAGCAAGTAGAAGTCAAGAAAGGGGGAGGTCGAGATATAATAATATCTTTTAAATCTACCAATGAGTTACAGTCAAACATTGGCAAGATTAGAGAGTAGTTCAAGGGCTGGAGCCAATTTGTGATGGTTTGGAAGCCAAATAGTCATCTGTAGCAGTAGAGGTGCGTTTGGTTGAGGTGCTATGGTATACCCCTACATCTCTGGAATAGGAATACACTTAATAGCATTGGTAAGGTATGGGGTACCATTCTCAGCCTAGATAGTGATATTTGTCATCCTAAATATTTTTCTCACACTAGAATCAGAGTGGCTACTGCGTGCATGGAACTTATCAACAAAACCATTTTTTTTGGAGTGTAAGGGCATTTCTTTTTCCATTCTTGTATGTGAAGATCATTCAGCAGATTCTGGTGGGTTGAAGCTATTAGGAATGGAAGACTCCAACTTCACAGAAACCAGTTACAGTGAGGAGGGTAGAAACACTCCAGAGGCAGCTGTCAGGGACAAAAATGATGGTGATGAGGTGGCACAAATGAGAGCTTTGTTAGGTACTAACCTGGTTTGCAAAAATGAGATTGAACAAAGGAAAGAGCCTAGTTGTAGTCACATAGGAGAGGAAATAGGAACTGTTGTTGAAGAGACTCTCTGTGATGGAGGCTTCAATAGGACAAAAGGAGCATGCGTTGAGGGGACTTTGATAGAAGGGTCAGAGCAAAATTCAAAAAATAATGATAGCTGATTGAGGTGTGTTCAGCAAGCTCCTTCATTTGGCAAATCTAGAGATGGATTTGGGCCTGGTATAAATTTGGAAGTCAATTTAGCCAACGAACTTACTAAAGGCCTTGGGCTTGGCATTGAGCCTGGTTGGGGGGGACAACTCTATTCCAAATATGATTACAAATTGGAAGATGAGGACCAAGGATGGAATTACTAAAAGAGTATATTGAAGAAACAGAAAACTCACCAATGTTTGCAGAAGCACAAGCCCAAAAATAACAGTCAGCTTTGTGAGGAGATAGAGAAGGGGCTGAAGATCGGACTCCAAGCAAACTAGATTTTTCATCCAATTCCCAAGTAAACATCACTCTTCCAATGGGAAAATTCCAATTGTTTGGGCTGGTTTTCCTTGCAAAGTATTGATGAAGAAAAAAGAAACCTTAGGGGGGACAGCTTTATTCCAAATATGATTACAGATTGGAAGATGAGGACCAAGGATGGAATTGATGAAAGAGTATATTGAAGAAACAGAAAACTCACCAGTGCTTGCAGTAGCACAAGCCCAAAAATAACAGTCAGCTTTGTGAGGAGACAGAGAAGGGCCTGAAGATAGGAATTCAAGCAAACTGGATTCTTCATCCAATTCCCAAGTAAACATCAGTCTTCTAATGGGAAAATTCCAATTATTTGGGCTGGTTTTCCTTGCAAAGTATTGATGAATAGAACCATCTTTATCAGTTGAGAGATTGAAAATGAGGGGGAAATCATTCTTAAGGCAAGTGTTGCCACACCATTTGTCATGCCAAAACTTAATTCTATTTCCGTCCCCCACTTTAATTTGACAATTATCCACATAAAAATTGAAAATATTACTGCTATGACTCCCGATAGATAAGATGTCTTTCCAAACTGTAGAATGTTTGTAAGAGAATCTTACCGGTGGATTCCAACAAGCTTCATCTATCTTGTATTTGCTACATATAGCCCTCTTCCAAAGAGAGTTAATTTGAGTTCCAAATTTCCACCACCATTTAAGCAATAGACATGCATTTACATCCATGATTCTTCGAATGCCCAAACCCCCTTGATTAATGCTTTTTGTGGCCTCCCCCCATTTCACTAAATGGACTTTTCTTTTCAGGTCATTACCCCCCAATAAAAAAGCTGATTCAATCCTCTCGATTTCTCTGGCCACACCTTCTGGCATCTTAAATAAAGAGAGAAAATAAACTGGTAAACTAGATAAGGTGGACTTGATTAGAGTTAATCTACCTGCAAAAGACAGCAGTTTTCTCTTCCACCCCGAAAGTTTGGATCTGAATTTGTCAAGCACAGGTTTCCATGTAGATTTTCTCCCGGGGTTGGCTCCGAGAGGTAGACCCAGAAATTTCAAAGGTAGTCTATGAACTTGACAGTTGAGGAGCTTTGCAAATGAGAGCAAGAGAGCATCATCTACACTAACACCACACACCACACTTTTGTGATAATTTATTCTAAGACCAGATAAAACTTCCAAGCATCTTAGAACTCTTTTAATAAGCACCATCTGATCCCAATCTGCTTCAACAGAGATAACTGAGTCATCCGCAAATTGCAGATGAGACAAAAGAACATCCTTGGACCCAACGCGCACTCCTCTAAGTATGCCAAGATTGATTTCTCTGACCAAAAGAATGTTAAGACCTTCAGAGACAATATTGAACAGAAAATGTGAGAGCGGGTCACCCTATCTAAGACCTCTTTGTGGTGAGAATTCGGTAGTTGGTGAACCGTTCACAAGAATGGAGATTCTGACTGAAGAAACACAAGTTTTTATCCAAGAAATCCATTTATTCCCAAACCCGAAATTGGACAGAAGAGAAAATAGGAATTCCCAGTTCACAGAATCAAAGACTTTCTCAAAGTCTAGCTTTAAAATTAGACCAAGCTTCTTGGACTTTTTCTATCCATCCAACACTTCATTGGCAATGAAAACCCTATCTAGGATGTTCCTCCCACCTATGAATGCAATTTGCGTTTCACCAATGATGGAAGGTAGAACTGGCTTCAATCTGTGTTAATGCTATAGCCAGAATTTTGTAAATGGAACTTACAAGACTGATGGGTCTGAATTTCGACAGGCCAGTGGGATTGTCCACTTTGGGAATTAAACTAATAAAAGCTATTTGAATGGAAGTCTGCAAAAAATTGCATAATCTCAGGCTTCATGACCTTCCAAAATTTCTGATAGCACAGCAAGTTAAAACCATCAAGGCCTAGAGCTTTGTTGCTATTGCAATCCTTGATTGCAGCCAATACCTTAGCTTCACTGAACTCTGAGGCAAGGTGATGAGAAACATAGTCAGTCCCAATGGTCTTGAATATCCCTCCCAAGACAGGTCTTTTAGCACAATCCTCCGCAAACTGTTTCTTGAAGTGTTGATTGACCTCAAATTTAACCCTGTTAGGATCCTCATAAGATACCCCATTAACGTCAATAGAGTTAATCATGTCCCTGTTCTGTCTGGTATTAGCAAAGACATGGAAAAAATTAGTATGCTTATCCCCATTTAGAGTCCAGTTCAATCTGGATTTTTGATGCCAAATCCACTCCACCATCCTGCGCAGTTTCCACAACTCTCCTCTGACCACTCTTCTTCTTGCCATTTCAGCTTGAACCAGAGGTCTTTCTTCTGCCAAGATATCAAATGCATGCAATTCCTCTTCTGAAACTTTGAGTTTGGATGAGACATTGCCAAATACCTCAACATTCCATTTCTTTAATTCTAGCTTTAGATGCTTCAGTTTTTGAACAAGTACGTAGCCAGCCCAACCAGTGACTGAAGTGCTGCTCTAGATATCGACAAAGAATTTGGAAAAGCTTGGATGAAGAGTCCAGGCATTTAGAAACCTGAAAGGTCTGGGTCCCAAATCTTTTTTATCTCCCATCATTAATAGAGGACAGTGGTTTGAAATTAATCTAGGCAGTCCCCATAGCTTCATTCTGAAATTAATCAGCCACTCAGGACCAAGCAAAACTCTATCTATACGGCTCCATTTCTTAGATTCTTGAGCATTACACCAAGGGTGTTTCCTTCCATGAAGAGGTAAATCATTGCAATTATAAGGGTTCTAAGATATCTCTGATTTACTCGTAGTATTGGGCTTAATTATACTGGATATCCAGCAATACTTGAAGGATACTATGATGCAAATTGGATCAGATACTAGAAACTCAAAATTCACTAGTGAGTATGTCTTTACTCTTGGTAGGGAAGCTATATCTTGGAAATCTTCCAAACGGGCTTGCATTGCTGGGTCTACTATGAAATCAGAATTCATAACTTTAGATAAAACTGGGGAAGAGGTAGAATGGCTTTGCCACTTCCTTGAAGATATTCCAATGTGGCCAAACTGGTGCCTGCTATTTGCAAACATTGTGATAGTCAATTAGCAATAAGTAGAGCACATAGTCATATGTATAACAATAAGTCGCAACACATTCGTCGTTGACATAACACCGTAAGACAACTACTCATTAATTGAATTATTTCCACTGAATATGTGAAGTTTAAAGACAACATAGCGGATTCACTAACCAAAGGGTTAGCAACAAAGTTAGTTGAGAATTCATTGAGGGGAATGGGACTTAAGCCTACTAAATAAGAGTTACCACAACGGCAACCCAACCTAGTTGACTGGAGATCCTAAGATCTAGTTTCAAAATGACAAACGAGTTGTGTATGACTCATAAGGATCACTAGGGAGTCAAACTCCTACCCATTTCTATGATGATATAACGTTGTCTGTAGCGTTTTAGGTTAAGTAAAACTTTTAATGATTCTTATATCTAGGAATACATAATGGAGTATGGCAAGATACTCTTCATAAGAATCACCTTTATGCGTGTGAACTGGGCTGGTTCTATGAGATTTGTGAAGGGCTACAATTCTCTAGAGCACTCATAAAAGACCAGGTTGTTCAGGGCCAAAATGAATGTAATAGTGAGAACTAAACTGTGTCTAGTAATAAACTGTGTGAGCTCTATTGTCTTGGTTTACACAAATGGCTGAACAGCTCAAGACATCATGTTCACTGGTTAGCTAGTAAATTCGATAGTGTCTAACAAGGGAAGGTTCAAAGCCAAAAGCTACTTATCTTTTGTAGAATATTTCTAATTTCAATACTCTTTATAATTAGATCGTGTTGTTGTATTTTCTCTCTGTCAAATTCCATTCATGTGGGGGATTGTTGGAATTTATGATTTTATAGGCCTATTTTTGGCCAACTTTGAGCCCAAAATTTGAGTGGGGCCCACACGTCTTTTGGGGTGGGTCTAAAGAGGTGACGTGTTCCTTGCCGCATGGCAAGTCACACGGTGAAGATGGCTCGGCAAAACCATTTACGAGTGACTGGGAAGTTGACGTCATTTTCGGGTTTGTGGAATGAACTATTAAAGAAGTAAAATGTGGGTTTCCTTGTAACGGTTATCCCACATTAGAAACTTAAGAGAACTTATGTATGTATACAAGTTCTAGGTGGCAACAATTGGGTTGGGTCCCAAGAAGCACCTCAAGTTTGTAGAAAGGAGGAGTTATGGACAAATTGAACATTGGCTCAAAACACCACGCACGCGCATGCGCCGCCGTTCGTCCCTCAGGCCGAGCCGTGCTAGGTTGTAGGTTAGTTCTAATATTAATTTTTTGAACAAAATTTATTTGAATTTTTTCAAAAATTCTTGCGAAAAATTATTTAAATTTAGGAACAAAATTAATTTAATTTTTTCTGTCCAAAACTGTGCCTCATCTAGTCCAATTTCCAACAATTTAAACTTTTCTAAACAGTTTGAAAACTGCCCAGCAGCTTCAAACAGGCTTAAAACTACCCAGTAATTTCCAATATATTCAAAACTGTCAGCAGATCTGTTCATTTGAATTCTGCACCTATTGACTTCAATATGCACCTGTTCGGCTTATCCAAACAGCCACCAATATGCCTATAAAAGCAAACTTGTTCTAGCAGATTGGGACATCCTGAAAAGTCTGAAATTCTCTTGCTTTCCTTTCGGATTTGCTCTCTTGCATAAATTCTCCTCATATTAGTTTTGGGAAAATTTCCGGAGTATAGATCATAGGTTCTTGTTCGTCGAAACAGATTGTGTTTAGTGCTAATACAATCTATGTAGATCATTGTATCCTGAGAGATAGACACCATTCATCTGTAAGCACCGAAACGGGGTGAATCTGTCTTAAGGGCAGAGTGTCACACACTCGACTTGATCTTATTTTGTACTTATTCATATCAGTAAATAAATTTCTGTAAGTAATTTATTTTATTTGTTTGATTTGATTTCACTTTATTTATTTTACACAGTAGATTGTTCCAACACAATGTTTACGTAATTTATTTTTATATGCTTCACAGTTCAGTAATGTTCCCTTTTAACTTTTAAGTTTATCATAAAGCAACAAATTAGATTCTTTACAATACTTAAATGTTTTGTGTCAAACTTATTCCGACATGTAAGGGTCATTATGTTAGCAAGTTTAAGTATTGTACTCTTCATATAGAAGTACGGGATCCCACCTACAACAACAAACACTAAATAGTAAAGATAAACTTATAATACAACAACAAAGCATATGACTTGAGGCATGTAAATTTTGTTTAGTTGGCAAAAACTAAACTTTCAACGACTACACCTCTTTTAGTTGCAAAAACCTTAACATTTAGTGAAAGCTATATTAATTGTTATGTTTAGTCGCAAAATTTTTTTTTTGGTAGTGGCCACATTCTCCACAAGGCCATCTTATCTTTTCTTTCTCCGAGCTCTTATTTTGTTAAAACCCCCATAAGAATCATATTATGACTTTTATTTGGAATCCAATAATTTGAATAGGGATACAAAAGACAAAAGAAGAGTAAATTTTGTTAAATAATTGACATTCAGTAATTGTAATGTAATTTTATGACCACATAAGACAATTTTTTGGTCATATATATACATCGGGAAATTCTCTGGTGTGCGCGTATGCAACCTATTTCAAAATGTGTAATTTTATCACAAAAATGGTGTGATTTTGCTATAGGCCCTATCATGTTAGCTCCTGTCCTAAGCTGCTATGGAATAATATCACTCTCCCAAAAGTTCAACTTCGAAGTTGGCTAGTTTGGAAAGGGAGAATAAAAACTAAGGTATTCTTTCAAAAAATTGGGTTTATTGATACTAATGCAGATACTACTTGTGTTATGTGTAATGCTGATGCTGAAGATGTGAATCACCTATTGTTAAGTTGTAAACCTATATGTGTTTATGGTTGGCAATGTTAAAGTGGAGGAGTATTCAGTGGGCAATGCCAAACTCAATAGAGGGAGTTTTACAATGGTGGTTTGGATATAAATGGAAGAATTTTGATAAAAAAGATTTGGAGAGCTATCGTACTGACAATTTTATAGTTCATATGGAAGCAGGGAACTGATTGTGTTTTCAATTGGATAAGGAAGAGTTATGCAAACTTGTTAAAACAAGAAGGGTAAATTATGTAAATAGTCCTTGTAGTTTACACGATGTGTCAATTTGGTCTCTATAGTTTCAATTTGCTCAATTTTGCCTCTTAATTTAATGGATTGTGCCATTTTAATCCAATAAATAATGGTTGTTAAGTTAATTTAATGGAAGGTCAAACAATATGTCAATTTGGTCCCTGTATTTTACACGATGTGTCAATTTGGTCTTTGTAGTTTCAATTTTCTCAATTTTGACAAGGGCTAAATTGACACATTGTGGAAAATACATGGACCAAATTGATACATTATTTGATTTTTCGTTAAATTAACCTAACAAGCGTTATTTATTGGACTAAAATGACACAATCCGTGAAATTAAGGGGCAAAATTGAGCAAATTGAAACTACAGGGACCAAATTGACACATCGTGTAAACTATAAGGACTATTTACATAATTTTCCCAAACAGGAATTTCTTTTTAGGTAAAATGTAACTCACAAGAGGTGTGCTATTCAATAACTGATCTCATATCAAATTTAAACCAAGTTAGACTGTATCTAGGAGGAAGGGGAGCTGCTTGATTTAGTGAAGTTGTACCACTGTTTCTATGAAACACGGATACGGGTACGATTACTAGTACTGATACGATATGGATATGCCGATACGGTAAATCTAAAAAGTAGGGTAAATTACCATTAAAAGTCCTATTGATAAATTTATCAAGGTTTGACATTATCAATCTTTCTTATTTTTATGAATAAATTTATACTGATAAGTTTATCAGTTAGAATCTGCAGATAAATAAGTCAAGTTAATAGAACTGAGTGGTAAATGTCTCAAAAAAGTACAGTATGGGTACGGCTTGGGTTTGGTACGTTCGTCGAAAATATTTATTTTTAATTTGGAGTAATACAAAAATTGAGTAAATGATTTAATTTGTTAAGATCTAACCTACAATTAATATTTAATGTCAAAAGTAAAAGTATAAACCAAAATT